AAATGGAAGAGCTCGACTTATCAGGCAAATACTATTGTGGCACAAAAGACATTTATTCGCTTTCACAAATAATTCGACCATCGCTTCTATTCAGTCTGAAGCACGCGCCTCAAGCTCCATTAATTTCTCCTTATGAAACGAATCGTATATGCAGACATGTAATACCTATCGGAAAAAGGGCTTTGGCGACCAGGCATGTTGGTTATGTAGGACGCCTTTCGGCCATACATCTGCGGGCGCATTTCACGCGAATCGCAATTGGCGTTGCCAAAGTTAGCATTGAATTCCTAGAACATCCGTTGCTTCAACAGTGATGAGGGTGTACTCGTGCGCATGCTCAGCAGTGACCAGCAAGATGCCTTCTGATACGCAGGGAGGTTGACGCCAAGGGCACTGTCGACGATAGGCACTACATTTCAGACCAAATCTGTACTTTCGAGAGTTGGGGCACGGGAATAGGCACACCCCTACCCCTCCCCCTTCCCCACGCCCTCATCCACGTTACAGATGGCAAAGTGCTAGTTTCAGAGAGGATACCGATTCCCCTGTTCTAAATCTACCTCCCCTTGGAATCTAGCTCAATCGCAATCGTAATACTGGCGTTGGCAAATTCCCTTGCCCTAATCCTGACGCCTGGCGTACAGTGAGAATCACTCCCATCCCTTAAAAAAACCGCTAATTTTGGTCCCTACTCTTTTCGTCCAGTTGCCGGCTCTTCCGCAATACTAAAGTTCGCTGAAATAGTTGCCCTAGATATAATACGGCCATACACTTCCAGATTTTCCGATCCGCTACGATTTGCATATAAAGCCAAACGCAGCACTGTGGATGCTGTTGCTCTTGTGGTCCACTCTGCCCTAAGAGAATTAGGTAAGGGTTGCTTTTCCTGACTACTCCTCCGTTTTCACTACCGTCCCGCGCCCTCTCCTTTTTAACAAAACATCGCGTGCGGCTCTCTAGGCTGGGTCGTCTCTTGGCTTAGCCATTATTTTACTTCCCACACTCAATTTGTCCAATCTGGCAAGCGGGAATCTACGGTCCTTCCCAATGACTGAGGAGTTCTTCAAGGTTCCATTCCATCCACTCACCTTTACTCCCTCCACACCGATGATCTAAGACTCCCTAACGACTCTAAGCAGGCTGATGATGTGGCTGTTCGACACCCTCTTAAAAACCGGACACGTCTCCAATCTCTGAAGGATGGCCTTGACTATGTCCTAGTATTGTCGGAGGAAAATGGTCTCTTAATGAACAACCAAAACTCAGTCAAGTGTATTTTCCAACTGCAGCCATCTCCTAGTCCTGACTCCCTTAACATCCTTCCTAACGAGGCGTCCTCTTTCAGGTGCCTTGGCGTTAGTTTGTCATCAAATCTGTCATTTTCCTTCCATATTGAGACCCTATTTACTAAAATTCGTTGTTTACGTTCCTACCACACACCTCAACCCGTAATATGACGATTCATAGATGCCTGCATCCTGCCTCTTATTCTATATGGCTCTCCAGTCATTTTTCCAGCTTTGCTTAAAAAAATATATGTTAATTTTAAAACGAGTCCACCGAATGCTCTCTACTGTCGCCAGTGTTTGTTATGTCTTTTTAGTCGATACTATCATACGACGACATTTTAAAACGGTCAAGCAATTTGCTGGTCTAATTCTGGATGGCGCAGCACAACGCTTGCATTCTGATCTTATTTCTGCGAAGTCTTCACGCCCGATGTGCCACGGCTTCCGGCTTATGTCTTGTCGCACATCGGCATATCGAGATTCTGTATTGGCATTCCTGACGCCCTATCTTACGTGTGAAGAGATGGAAGTACAGAAGCCAAGACTTGAACTGTTCTCATAGTAATCATTCTTTGTGTGTTAAATAGGCTGACTCTCGAGTAATCTATTAACACATTTGCTGCCCATAGTGAATGTAGTCCATTTTTTTGCTGAAAATTTTGAATGTATAGTTTCAAAATAAAGCGAATTT